TATATATATATATATATACACACACACACCCACATATATATACACAGGTATAAACTGTTAGGAAGTGTTCATTTTGTTTAATATATATATACACAAATATATATATACATACATACATGTATATGTATATATGTCAGGCACTGGCACAGGTTGCCCAGAGAAGCTGTGGCTGCTCCTCCCTGGAAGTGTTCAAGGCCAGGCTGGATGAGGCTTTGAGCAACCTGGTCTAGTGGAAGGTGTCCCTGCTGATGGCAGGGGGGGTGGAACTGGATGAGCTTTAAGGTCCTTTCCAACCCAGACCATTCTATGATCCTATGTCAGCCCCTGTCAGCAGCTGTAGGTCAAGGGACTAAGTGGCTGAGGTTTTGAAGACACAGCCTACGTGGTTTGCAATTCTATGATCCTTGAGGCTTTGAGCAACCTGGTCTAGTGGAAGGTGTCCCTGCTGATGGCAGGGGGGGTGGAACTGGATGAGCTTTAAGGTCCTTTCCAACCCAGACCATTCTATGATCCTATGTCAGCCCCTGTCAGCAGCTGTAGGTCAAGGGACTAAGTGGCTGAGGTTTTGAAGACACAGCCTACGTGGTTTGCAATTCTATGATCCTATGATCATAGAATCATAGTGGTTGGAAAAGACCTTTCAGATCATCGAGTCCAACCATAAACCCAACACTGCCAATTCCACCTCTAAACCATGTCCATAAGCACCTCATCTGCCCGTCTTTTAAATACCAGCAGGGAAAGTGACTCCACCACCTCCCTGGGCAGCTTGTTCCAATGCTTAACTACTATTTCAGTGAAGAAGTTTTTCTTCAGATCCAATCTAAACGTCCCCTGGCACAACTTGAGGCCATTTCCTCTCATATACATTTGTATAGTGGATAGAACAAGCTCATGAATTACGTATAAATGTGTGAAGTTTTGCAAACTCGGTGTGCTAGCTCTGTGAAATACCACCTAGCACCTGTATCTGGGCTATTTATGAAATAAATAAAATACCTTGACTCTGTGTGTATATTGGTGGCTGCATACCAGGTAAACAACCCCGCTTTGGGACAACATCTTTACTCAGCCTTATTTGTATGGGCACAGTAGCCAAAACAAGGTCTTTATGATCTGTACCTTTTATATATGGTAGCCACCCAGAAAGGAAGAAAATAATGCTAAGAAAGGTCACTGCCTGCAAGGTAAGGGTGTTTTCCCAGGCAAACATGAGGCCAGCCCCTGTCAGCAGCTGTAGGTCAAGGGACTAAGTGGCTGAGGTTTTGAAGACACAGCCTACGTGGTTTGCAATTGCCCGGGATCCTTCAGAGTAAGTGGGTACTTGACACCCACCAGGGTAAAGCTTGGATGGCTTGCAGACTGATCATAAAAGATGGTGGCTACTGCCATGCTCTGTTTATGTTGCCTTGATGTCCACCACTACAAAACTCACCACATGTTTTGTGATGACGATGGCAAACTGCATGAAAAAGAAACCAACATAAAACCACATCAGCTTCTAAAATGAGCTAATGCTTCCTGCAATTCCAGTCACATCTAAAGTGAATTTCCCATCAAATATTGGGAAAAGTGAAAAACCCTTAAACTTCATCAATTTCTGTTTTCCAGTTAAACAAAAAAAAAATTGTCTATATCCAAGGATTGTGGTAAATTTTTCAAACAGGGTCATAAAATATGAGAATAGTATTATATTATGTACAGTAATACAGACTATGCTCCTAATTTCACTGCCATCTGAAAGATTATTTTCCATAGCTCTTTTATGGAAAAACACATGGAATAGTTACATTAAGCATTACTAAGAAATACAAACTTCCTTGCACAACCGTATACAGCTATTTAAAAGTCAAGCAGAAATGTCTCAAGATGAAGCAACAAGTAAATCTTTAAAACAAGTGTATTTTTAAAAATGTTTATTGAAATGCCTTCATTGCATCATGCAGGATACAAAAGTCATTATTAGAAAACCTTTATAACCATACTTAGGAGTAAAATCAAGATACATTAGGGAAAAATAATAATTATATAAACAAAAGCAATTTATTTCTGATAGTGTTTTAAATCATTAGATTACAAGCTGTGATCTGCACAGATGATAATTATCTTGCGGTAACAGTCCGTTCTTTCATGATTCAAGTCAAAACTCATGTTCGTCGTGCTAGAGCAACCGACTCACCTGTGTATACCACTAAAAATTCAACCCCTTCATTGCAGATACAGGGTTTTAAAAGTACAACAAAAGTATTCTGCCAGCATACTTCTATTCTGCTTTCAGTTTTTCATTTGTTCCATCAAAAGCCATTAACTTTTCATTAAGAACAAAAAAAAAAAAGGCTGATGTGCTTTATTACACAAAACACACAGCACATAAGTTTTGATTACTGAAATAGAACCTCTTTAGAGTCCTATGATGATAAAAGACTTTCTTGAAGTTCAGTTCAATTCAATAATTTATGTTTTTGCAGTATTACACAAGGACTTGGAAGTGATTTTAAAATGGGAGACCACTGCAGCCTCGGCATTTTTGTTGTTTTAGGAATCCCAATCCCTACTACTTAAAATTTTTAGGGTTTCTTTATTCATACACTGCTCAGTGTAAACTTACAACTTGCCTCTCTCTTTTTATTCTATTTGACAGCAACATTCTATGCAGATATGCATTTAAAAAAAACCCCAACCAATAAACCAAAACTCTCCAGGGCTTAAAATTTGGCTCTGAAGAATTGAGACAGGTAGAGATTTTGATGCTGGCTTCAAGGGGACCAACGTTTGAGAGGTTTCTTGTGCATTCACTTGGCACAGAGTAAGGTTAGAACCACGCTGAGACCTTACTACGGAAACTGCTGTAAGGTCTGGAATCAGCTCATTCCATTCAAGAGGGAAGATTTTTTTAAAAAACACTCTTTTTGAGAAAGTTAATACATGTGTTTCCATTCCATATCCTTGTGCAAAAATGCATCTTTATAAAGCTATCCTTCTCTCTTTTTGCTGAGCTCCATAGATGCAGACTTTAAACATGAAGTTGGTGTCACTGAGTGTTTGAACACACAGAATATCATTAACAATCTAATTCCATTAGAAGGCTTGAAGAGTTTTGGCACTGTCCCCTCATAGAACGTTAGGTACAACTACCAATATGAAAACGTTATGATAAGGGAATCGTTTAACTCTTTGGCTCTGTTGTAATACTTAAGTACTAAGGCAAGAACTGTGTGTACCTTAGGGTCGCTTTTTTGTTTCATATTTTTATAAAATACTTGACTAAAAGTTTCAACAAGTCCCCTAATCCTCTATAAATGTCAAATGCTGCATATTAAAATATATGCTTATTACACCTTTTTGTTCCAATTACTAGGATTTTTGCACACTGCTGAGAACACACACATTTGTAAACTGTTTAGTGAGTTGATGAAGACATTCTCTGTATAAGAGAATCTGTAGAAAATTATAATTGAATCAAGATGCCATAATTTAAATTGCCTGGTTATCCATTTGGGAGCACTAGGATTCTCTCAACAGCTTTAGCTCTTTCATTCCTATAAAGATGAACTAAACCAAGTAACAAGCCCTCCTTTTCAATGCATTTGTAAAACCATCTCATTCTGAGGTTTCGGGTGCACATCATAAGGAGGAGATTTCAGAGTATTCACTGGCTTTTCAGATTTCACTACATATGGCTAAACTTCACATGTGAGGTTATTGCAGTTTGCCCTATTGCCCCCTTTTATTATAACATGAAGTGGGTGTAGCCTTCTGCGCCTGTAACAATAACATCCATCCATATCCTCATGGCTTCTGGTGAAGGAGCAACCATATAGTATATCCGGTCATGTGTCTTAACGCTGAAAGTGAGCAACGGGTTGGGACTCTAAAATAAAACAGAAAGAAGGACAGCAACAGAATTAAATCAAAGGCATTTATCGGCACCAGAAGTAAAACTACTCACAGGGAGATTTGTGATAGGGTTAAGGAGAAAGATAAAATGCAAAACGCTGTAGCACTGTATCCTACATCGCAGCACTGGAAGCAGAGATGCATTTAAGGTGTTTGCATCCAGCATAAGCACTTTTTACAACATATTTCCACTAGAATATTGCACAGTAGTACCCGGCTCCAAATAGTTGTTTCGTGCCCAAACAACTAACTCCTCCATCAATAGGCCAATAATACCACCTTGGCTTTCACAAATTCAGGTGCCAAGGATATATTCAGCTTGTTCACAGCTCATTTAAATTACAGCTGAGAGGCAGGGCGTGCCATGAGCTGCTGGCACCAGTTAACTCCCTCCCCGTGACAGATACCTACTGCCATCCCTTGATTTGCCAAAGCCACTGATTTCAGTGGTCTCACCACTGGACTAAGGAATTCCTCACCACAAGGGACCATCACTTGGCAGGTAGATGCTCTCTTATCTCTGCTTTCATCACTATTAAAAAAAAAACAAACCAAAAACCAAACCCTCAGTGCTGATCACTGATCTGGCTTCATCTTCCTTTTCCTCCAATCTGGGATTTTTTGTTTGGTTAGTTTTTTAGTAATCTCAGCTCTCCCTTTGACTTTACAGCAGCTACCGTATTTGGGGTACTGCCATGTGATACTCAGTTAAAACAACAATAACAAAGTTTACCTTATATGCATTCTTTAGATGATCATAATAGACTTCTTCAATAGCTTGAAAGTATATTACACCTTTTAATTTAGTTTCATGTTTGTCTAAAATAGAAAAAAGAGAGAATGACTTTTGAGAACCAAAATGAACAGTACTTTGAGAAGCAAAAGCTTAATTTGCATTTTGATACAGCTGATAAGTAACTGGATAAACACTTCTGCTTGTGAAATCCCACCAAAACCTTCAGCTTTTCTTACTAGTTGGTCTGTTTTGTTGAGAGATGCATTTCCTACTTTAATATGTTTTCTTTTTCACCTGGTTTCCAAGGAAATAAAGCTGTTGCAACTTCCTCATCTATTTGCAAGTCACTCCCTGCACTGAAGTGTGTAAACATTACGACTGGTTTTAGCCAACAGAAGGACAGATGTCTCTGAGATACATCCAAGCTTCCAATTCCATGGAAGCCAGCCAGACTTCACACAGCTCGCAGGCTAAGACCTACTGTTTGCCTGCAAAGGAAAACTGTTACAATAAGCAAATTTGAAATACAAGTTGCTAGCAAAAGCTTTTGTGCTTGTAGTTATTTAAAAAATGCTGCTTCTCTTTATAATAATCTCCCTCAGTCTCAAGCTAATATTTATTATTCAAATAGGAGGTTAGCAGATTGTAGGAAGTTTCTATGAGCTCTGACACACGGAAAAGTTTATAGGAGTTCCTGGGCACCAGCTGCAGCATCAGAATTGTTTGCACTCTCCTGTTCTGACACCCAAGGTAAAAGCCAAATTAATTAGACACAGTTTGCCCCAGTTGTGAAAGGGAACTCCCTTCAGAGAAAGGGAATTCCCTTCAGGAACTACTTCAGAGCACCCAAGGTAAGAAAGTCCGAATGGATAGTTACTCCAGGGAGACAGCTAGCAAGGAGTAGGCTGTTATCCAGTGGTGCTGTGTTTCTGGTGCCAAAATCCCACTGCAGCAAAGCTGAAATACAGGGTGGGAGTCTTCTCACTTAGGTTTTGATATCTACAATGGAGACACAGCTGACTCAGTCCACCTTTAAGGGCAATGGAAAGCAGCAGACACTTGCAGGGAGTCAATTCTAAACAGTTTTAGACATCTCCTGAGACCCCACCTGGAGTACTATATTCAGCTCTGGGGTCCACAACATAAGGATGATGTGGACCTGTTGGATTGAAGCCAGAGGAGGGGCATGAAGATGATCAGAGGGCTGGAGCATCTCTCCTATGAGGACAGGCTGAGAGAGTTGGGGCTGTTCAGCCTGGAGAACAGAAGGCTTTGGAGAGACCTTCTAGTGGCCTTCCAGTACCTGAAGGGGCTACATGAAGGCTGGGGAGGGACTTTTTACAAGGGCAGGGAGCAACAGAACAAGGGGTAATGGCTTTAAACTGGCAGAGGGGAGGTTTAGATGAGATATTAGGAAGAAATTCTTCACTGTGAGGGCAGTGAGACACTGGACCAGGTTGCCCAGAGAAGCTGTGAATGCCCCCTCCCTGGAAGTGTTCAAGGCCAGGTTGGATGAGGCTTTGAGCAACCTGGTCTAGTGGAAGGTGTCCCTGCTGATGGCAGGGGGGTTGGAACTGGATGAGCTTTAAGGTCCCTTCCAACCCAGACCATTCTATGATTTCCTGATATTGCTTTCTGTCCCAGCACTGGCTAGTGAATCATTAGGGCAAGGAGGACACAGACTGTGAACTTAACATCTTAAGAGTCACAACTGTAATATTTCACAAGAAAAAGGAACAGGGCAGATAAGCTTCCACAGTACTCTCTGTTTTCCTGCCATGGAAGAGAAAATGTTAAATAATCCCAGAGGGTGTTAAGAAGCATCACAACTGCATGTGACATTGAATGACAAACTTCCTTCCCCTCCCAGTACTTCTATATTAGGAGAATATAATCCCTTCTGACCGCAAGTTATATCACCTTAACACTGATCAGTCATGCAGAACACCTTTGTCAGTCCCATGAGAGAGACTGTTGTCATTTTGAACATCATGAAACTCAGCTTACATCCTATCCGAAGCTGCAGGCAATTCTGAAAGCTTCATGTGATGACAAAAAGAAATCCCAGAGACCAAACGATACATCGTTGGGAACTCCCCTGCCAGCCCCCGGGGGACCAGCAGCAGTACTGAGGTGTAAGATCATGACATGATAGCACAGATGATACTAAGCTAATGCAATACTTTATGAAATACACTGTCTGTGCAGTACAAGCAAACAGTGATCCATTCTCCTTTCAACCCCACCTGGGGCCTTAGTTACAAGAGCATTTCAGGTTCCCACAAGCTCCCATCCCAACAGTCTTTGTAGAGTTCCTTGAGTGCTTCTGAAAGTGCAGATGCTTCAGTCGCTGCGCTAAATTGTCAGACTTTAGGGTAAATTCTTTGTTCAGTATGCTTGCAGAACTAAAACAATATACCAATAGATTCACTTAAGAGTTCAGCTGCTCTGAATTTACATTACCAATATTGATTTTGGAAGTCTACTTTATATTTAAAGATCTAGATGGATCCTCACTCATACAAGCAGCTGCTTTTTTGCACAGCTGGTACAGAATTCTCATGAAACTCTGTCTGTTGGCTGGAGTCCTTGAGCCATTATGAAAAGTTTTCTTTGGTAATTCAAACTGCATTATGGCAACTATACTGCACTCAAAACTGAAACTGTTAACTATTAACATAACTACTGAAAAAAAAAAAAATCAGTACCACATGGGAACACTACTGTATGTTACAGGCCTTTACTAACCAATAAACCAGATGTTAAGAAAATAATAATTAAAAAAAAAATTGTTACATTCTTCACAGTATTACTGCAAACTAGGAAGAAATATTCAGTGGGTATTTAATGAATGAATGTAATTAATTCAAATATGTGTTTTTTAAAAAAATGGACTGAACATTGCATAACCCTACCATCTATTTTAATTTCCTTCTGAGTTGCTGGAAAGCAGTAATGTCACGAAAGGAAATGGAACTATGAGTGTTTTTCGTACTCAATGTTTTCTGCTGCTTCTTAGAAATGACCATCTGACATATGCCCCCTGTCTGGCCTCTCCCAACAATAAATATTCAGATCACAGAGTAATTTTCCTGGCTTCCTCTGAAATGTTAAAGTCAAACCATACGTAGATTTGCACAGCAAATCCAAATTTTTGGATTTACCCCAAGATAAAAAAATTAATGCAATCCTTATAGTGGCTCCAGACATTGTGTAATGCAACTTAGTGTACAGAAACTTCTTTTATAGAGTATTACATATTGTTAATTTCAAATTCCTTAGACTCTCAAAATATAGCAACTCAAAAAGTCTACTCCTGTATATTTAATTTTTTAATTTCTTGAAAGACTTCTCAGCACATCAAGCAATGGGACTGCAGAAGCATTTAATTTAATCTTCATGGTAAGTATAATAAATTACATTCCTGTATGAAGGGTACAAGAAATCATTCTTTCATTGAGGGAAGTATATAATTTAAAAAAAATAACTAGGAACCTGATGATCTTCCATCTTTTCCTCTTGCCTATACACATCTCTCCCTTTGTCTGTTACGCTCATTTCTGCCCTACCTGGCATTGGTACTGAACAGTACAGGGAAGTGTGTGTGTAAATCACCCAATTAAATGGAAATACAAGTTTTATTCAGGACTCTACATGTTCATCATTCAGCTGAGGTTGACAGGAAAATAGAGGGACAGATGTACCCTAGCAGTGATCCTGCAACCTACCTGCATAATAAGTAAATGTTCTCTTGTTTCTGTCAAAAACAAACCATCGTTTTTTCCATGTTTTAATTTTTCCTCCCATTTTAATCAGAAAGCCTCGGCAGGTCTTCTCTGTGAGGGAGACATGGTAACAGGTCTCTATGTTGTGACCGGCTGTTTCAATGTGACTTCGGAGGTCAAAGTCTTCCTTTCTAATGGGCAAATAGCGAGTCAAGGGACGGGCCTACAGCAAAGAAAAGAAAATCATATTATTTTTAACAGAAGTCTTAACATCTCCTTCACTCTTTCTGCTGCAAGGATATAACTGGAAACTGCCCAGAGATTCTAAGAATAAACATAAGAAAAATAGAGTTTTTGCTGCAGTCCTGATTTTCTTAAAAGAAAAATCCCTAAAACTTTTAACTTTACAAATTGTTGGATAACTTTATAAAAGTGAGATTAGAGCATAGGAGTTTCTTGAAATCATCAGTTGATAAGCTGGTAAAACAGGGGCCACAGCACAGAAAGGTTGTTTTAGAATCCAAACATTAATTAAATGTAAAGGTGTGTTGCTGCTTTAGACAAAGTGTAAGAACTTCATTTGCATTCTGTTAAGCAAACCCTTTATTTCTCTGGGCTAGATACTCACTACACATCTCACTCATTAATATTTTAGTGCTACAGGTATTTCCATGCAAAGTATAATATAAGTAATAAAAACATGGTATTACAGGAAAAATTATGAGAGTGAACTGTAATCGCTAGTTAGTTTTACAAAGTTTGCTGTGAACAAAACAGAATGATTTTCTTCTGAAGGAGTTAAATGTGGTATCTGGTTCACAGCTGGCAATATGGTATCGAGAGCTGGAGTGCTGCCCTCTACAAGAGACAGCAGAGCAGCACAGGAACCTGCCTCATTCTTGACTGCAGTTCAAACCTGGATAGTATCGGTTGGGAGAAGAAGCAGGAGGCAGAAGTGATTTGGGACTTGTGCCAGCTGAGGGAATATGCATGTTTTCTGTGCCTGGAGGGTCTGTGCACACACCCTCCCCCCATTTTAAATACAAAAGACAAGTCTCCCAAGGCTCCTGCTGCAGTCAAGGCAGACAGAGGCTACATCACAGGGGGGGATCTGCAACAGAAGCTGAATTTAGGTGCTTTGAACAACCTGTGAAAGAAGTATCTCCTTTTCTATCTCCCTCCCCTGACTCCACAGAAGTCAGTGACCTGGAGAATCTAATATTTCCCGGCTGCATGCCTGAAGTGAGCCTGTTAAATCCCACCCTGAGTCACAAATCGAAGGGACTTTCCCCCACTGCATTCTCAAGAACCTCTTGGGTGCAATAGGAGCTGGGTTGCCCACAAGAACTCTTAGCACCCTTCTGAAATTATGCTTTCCTGTATGATACAAGCTGGCACAAGCTTTGGCAAGTGCAAAAGCGGAGTTCCTTCCCCTAGTTTACGTTTCTAAGTGTCAGGAAGTGCTAAAAAACCCAACAAAATAAATAAAATTGGGTGTCACGGTACAAAGGAAAAAAAAGTTATCAAAAACCTGTAGTTATTTTTGGCAGATAGGTTTTGTCTTCCTGCCAATTCAGCCTTCAGCTCCTCTGCCAACTCTGCCAATTAGCAGTAACTGATAGGGCATTTTTTTTTTTTTTTACAACACATGCACACTCCAATTTGGGATGAAGATATAAACATTGTGTTGTTGTTTATGCCATGCTTGAGTTGTGAAGAATAACCCATTCAAGTAAAGTACACGTAAAATTTAACATTTGGTAATTATATTTTATATAAAAACAAAGGAATGGATATATTTAACCAGAAACTGCTTAAAGTTCCTCTGGGGTTGTCCTATTGTTCTGATCTAATTTTATCAATTAGAAAGGTAAGTTATGCAGGAATGTTCATTAAAAAATAACAGTAACACATGAAACAAAGATTTCACAAAGGTAACACAGATAAAAGCAGAAAGATATCAAATATGACATGGAATCTTCTGCACTCAGATACATGTTGAGATGTTCTGATTGTCTTGCTATATGGTACTAACAATAAAATGACTGTCTAGTCTGTTTGCTGTGCAATGTAGATCTTATTAGTTGTGGTGGAATAAACAAATAGGTAAGACCTCTAAGCCTAAAGAAAGCTCAAGATACCTCTAAATTCTATCAAGAAGCAAGAAGATGTAGGAGGTAACACTACTTCCTCTCCACAGCAGATGTAGAGCTGGGAAAGCTTTTTTTTTTCCCCCAGTCAAATATTTGGAAGTGACAATTCACATTCCAAGATATTTTATGTATTAAAAGAAAGGAAAAAAAACCACCAATCGTTTATAAAATTAACACACTGACAAGTTTCTGTTGTTCAGGCTCAAAAATTCTGCTCTGTCCATACTCAGTAACAAACCTTACAGGATAAACATTTGTACTTCAGATATAAGATGCTAAATAGGTATCCGTGCTATTATTTAACTTTAAATGAATACTTGGACATCTATCTAAGGCTGTAAGAGGCCAAATCATACTTTTAGCAGCACAGTTACACCTCAGAACTACTAAATCCACCTATTCAACTGAGAGCAGTTCTGTTCACCATGGGCAGAAATACACTTAGTCCCTTCTGTAGATCAAGGGGAAATCTTGCATGTAAAAACTATTTCATGTCACCACATCTCACCTGTGCTCTTTGTTTCTCACGTATTTTGACTTCCTTTTCAATTAATTTTTGTCTCTGGCTAGTTTCTTCTTCCAGTCTTTTCTCCAGTTGTTCTCTGCGGCGCTTCTCTTCTTCTAGAGCCCGTTTTTTAGCTTCCATCTCCCGTTCCTAAATACCACAGCACATGCAGAACTTCCATTATATGTGAAACTATATTTGACAATGTAATTTCCAGGCTAGGACTAAATCCCTTTTTGCTTCTTAAGTAGGCAGAGATATTTATCCAGCAAAGTGGGCTGAGAATTGGAATCAGAATTGTAAATACTACCATTCTAGAAATGAAGGTTCTTCTTAAGCAGCTCTCCTAGCAGGTGTGGGATCAGTCCTGACCTAGCTTCTGATGGGATTTTGACATCAACTCACCCAGTGAGATAGCAGCTATTGCATATGGGCTCAAAGATGTAGTTTGAGGGAGAAACCAGACCAGACTACGTCGGGAGAGGTCAGTTTTTAAGTGTCTATTAGGTGTAAACTATATAGGGTCAATTTAGGAGGGGATTATTCAGGCTGAGAGAGTTGGGGCTGTTCAGCCTGGAGAAAAGAAGGCTTTGGAGAGATCTTATAGAGGCTTCCCAGTACCTGAAGGGGCTACAAGAAAGCTGCGGAAGGACTTTTCATAAGGGCAGTTAATGACAGAACAAGGGGAAATGGGTTTAAGCTGAAAGAGGGGAGGTTTAGATTAGATATTAGGAAGAAGTTCTTCACTGTGAGGGTGGTCAGACACTGGAACAGGTTGCCCAAGGAAGTTGTGGATGCCCCCTCCCTGGAAGTGTTGAAGGCCAGGTTGGATGAGGCTTTGAGCAACCTGGTCTAGTGGAAGGTGTCCCTGCTGATGGCAGGGGGGTTGGAACTGGATGATCTTTAAGGTCCCGGCCAACCCAAACCATTCTATGATTCTATGTTTATCTAACATGCCCACTCTCAGTTTCACTCATAAAGTTATGCTTACCCGGCTCTCAAGCAGCCTAGTCTTTTCAGCATGTGCTTGTTTCAGAAGTCTCTCCATCTCTTCTATTCTTGCAACATTTGAAGTGCTAGCACTGGACAAAAAAGTTCAGAGTTATTTAAAAAAAGTACTTTGTATTTAAAGACATATTTTACAATCCAACATTAGGCAGTTTAAGAACGGAGTTGATACTGTTCTGATCCAATTCAGTGCAGTAGGCACTAACAAAAAATGATGTAAAACATATATGGTACACTCTCAATGTATATGTTCCACAGGCAGTTGTGGAAAATGCAGACTCAAGTGCCTAAAAATGCACCTTGTCAGTCCCCTGTGATCTGTCATCTTCTCCCAGATAACAGAATAGGGATGGAGGTAGTTGCCATGTCCTAACAGAACAGAATCCTCAGAGCTGGCATTAGCAGCCATCTGAATATAACAGTCTTTCTGGCTGTTGACTGGCTTTGTTTTGTGCCCTGCTGAGCTCATCATCAAAAAATGCTCGATAAAAATAAGGAGGATTACGAGGTACTCCTAAAGGCCATTCAGTGACAGTGTCAGGAAGGATCTACTAGTTAAAGTAACCAGCAAGCCAAAGAAACAAGGTTAACCACAGAGAGTTCCAGATCCTGGCCCAGCACAGAACAGCACAGCCATCACCTTTGTCTGTCCTTTTTCCTTTTGTTTCTTTTCTCCAGTACAATTTCTGTGTTTCATCACAATTTAACAGCCATTTGAACTGTGGCATTTCCATGGCATGCTCTCTCTCTTATTTTTCATCTTATGCTGTTCAATGAAAACAGCTGATGTTAAATATTACTGTATTACCATTAATAATGCCATTAGACTAAAGAACAATGAGGAAATGGAATAGATTCAAATGCTTAGGGCTGAGAGCAATCTGACTTGGGATTGTACTGAAAATGTTATCTGACCACTCAAGTGGAAGTGAGTGTCAGGTGGCAGATTTGTTCCTGCTACTTAATTGCATGCACACCAGCTCTGAAGGGACACAGGTAGAATGGAAGTAGTCCAGACTACTGAGAAGACATTTCTCTGTCTGATACTGGGAATATGTTTAATGAGAAGATAAAATACAATATAAAAATAACATACCTCATTTAACCCTTAACCCGAGCTTGCAGAAAAGCTATAATCCACCTGAAATCTATCTGAACTCTAAAAGCTTATTGCCTCTAAAAAAAGTGAGGCCACTGACTTAAATGCCTAAGCCTAGTTTGGCCAAAGTATGTTTAGTTGATGGGCCAAGAGACTCTGGGTCAAATAACTTGAATAAATGCAACAGGGACATAAATTAAAAGTAATCTGAACAATCTGGAAGATAGTTAATTGTGGTAGGTTTTCCCATATTAAACTGGTTATCACTTCAGCTTAGTTAAATTCTTTCATTGTTGATTTGCTTATCCTGCTCACAGAAATTAATGGATAGAAGAACACCACAATATCTGAATCCTCAGCCATGAAAAGGAAGCTGCTAATGAACATTGGAACAACCCTTGTTTGGCAAGTTGCTGAGTGACTACGGCAGTTCTGTTTCTTCTGTACTTTGAGCACAGATAGATTTTATGCATTTCCAGCAAAAAAAGTCTCTCTCACCTTATACATGCTAAAATATAACTTAAATTATTTTAAATGTCGGAACAAAGCATCATAAATTGTTTTCCTTTAAAGTCTGGTATGGTTAGAAAAGATTCTCAAACATCATCTAAAACAATCTGAATTAATTTTGCTTAAGGGAAGCTTTGTTAAGGAAAATTAACTGCGTATCTTCCAAGTTTTATCAACAAAATCAGCCCACACCACACTCTTTTCTTCCCTCACCAAAGTTTGCCTTGGGAGAAACTGAAAGATCTGTTATAAAGGGTCCTTTTCTGGTTTTGGGATTGTTTTGTGGTTTTTTGTTTTGTTTTGTTTTGTTGCTTGTTTGTTTTGTTTTCTTCTGGCATTATCTGGAAGCTGCAGAAGAGCCAGAGGGAGGCAGAAGGGCAAACAGCACCCATGAAATCCAACAGCCATCAGGGCTCCCCCATCCTTGGCTGGACATTCCACTTACGAGATGGCCCCGGGTAGCTCAGACACATGCCATCTTCCTCCAAAATGGTCAGAGCAGCAAGTCAGAGAGAGACAGATTTCATACCCCTGCCGTGTCAGATCACTGCAGAGATAAGAGTTAATACCCAGCCTGTCCCAGCTATCAGAAACTTGCCATCTGTGTATCTACTAAAACCAGAAATCCTCAAAACTTGAGTCCTAATGTTTTTAATTAAAACAAACAAACAAACAAAACCAATCAAACAAAAAAACCCCACTAGCCAGCAGAATGAGTGCCAGTGGTATTTTCTGAGACCCTCGATATTGCAATGATAAAGACTACAAGGAGAAATCAGTATCAGGGCTGATACCCTGTTACGGGAAACAGATGCCAAAAAAGCTGTCCTTGTGTTCACAAGGGATTTGTAATCCTGTGACAATGTTGTACTTAATTATTAGCCTCCACTTATGCTCATGAAACTGCTGGGGCAGGACTGTGAGCAGAAATGGAAGTGCTATCATTGAAACCACACTGTCAGAAGAAAATTGTTTGCACACAATTTTGAGACTCAGCTGGACTTTTAAGACAGGTCATTGATGTTCTTTGTCCGAGGAGCAGTGACTGAGCTGACAGCCTCTGAGGATCAGAAAAGCAGCCGAGAGCTCTAAGCCTTTCAGTGTCGTCTCTTCATTTTTACTGACCCAGAAAAGGGAGAGGAAAGGGTAAAAAAGACCACCTGAGGAGCCCTTAGTGTTTCAGCATAAGGCTCTAGTAAGTTAACATGGTGGACCTGCAGCAGAACAAGTGTACTTCATTGCCAGCACATGTCTGAGAAATTTCCTATCACAGGAAATTCTTTTGCCATAGTGCCCAGGGAAGGAAGCTCAGGTATTACCCACTCTGAAAGGAGCATTGACAACTTCATTATTTCAGTCCAGGACTCACACTGATTTCTCTGTGGCTTTCAACATTATCACTTAGCCTCTCCATATTTTTAGTTTCCATCTTTAAAGAAACAAGTGAGATGATAGTTAAACCCAATTATAAAGGGCTACACAGATACTAAATACTATGCCTGTCTAATGATCTTAGATTTTCTCAACCAGTTAGCAGCAGTCACATTACCAGAGCAACCCAGTCCACAGCAGTGGGGTTCAACTAGATGATCTTTGAGGTCCTTTCCAACCCAAACCATTCCATGATTCTATGATATTCACTTTCTTCATTATAACCCTGTGACCATTACAACATCACAAAGGAAGATGATTTACCTGGAAATGTTATCTGGTGAGCATGCTGATATGCTTGTCTCCATACTGTCAGAACTGTCCAAGCTTAACGTATCAAAGGCGTGGTCCTTGTAACTGCGATCTGGGTAATGGAAACTGTTCAAATACACATTTGACTCGGATGCTGTTCTGCTGTAGAATTCAGGAGACTTCTGCCTTTGGTTTTCACAGACACGCTGATGGTTGTACCCTGCAGAGTACAGAGGAAACATTTATTTTACACAGAAATTTTGTGACTTGAACGTAACATGTTAGCAGCACAAGCGTTTTGAGCATCATCTGGGTCTTAACTACACTGTGACCAAGGTACTACAATATTATGGTTCATTTCACAAGTTAATAATAACTGAAATAAAACCTTTACATACCTGTTTTATCTATGATGGACACAAATATATGCAGATTAGCATGACTGACTTTTCAATATATATTCTTGTATGTGTATTATGAAAGTTTAATTTGAATGAATGAAATTTACATTTAAAAATGAAAATTAGGCCTAATATGGAAAGTAATGCAGCAAGATTCAAAGATCCAAAAGAATTGATATGGATTGAAGAAAAAAAAAAGTCCTGATATTTAATGGTCTTGAGTACTTGTTTAGTTGATTTTACTGAATGTTGATTTTTTTTATTATTTTTTGGTCTGTCTGTGGAACTTTGCCTTCTGGTAACTGCAACTTGGGCTTTTAGTTTCAGCCGAAATAATATAGGCTACTTGTCACACCATCATAGTTACTAGTGTAGAGGTACTTTCCTGGAGCTTTGAAACTGGCCTTCACCCTACAGAGTTGAAGCAGATCCCTATAGGTCAATGACTGTAAAGAAAAATAAGGGTTATGCAACATTTAAGTTCTTTGCACTGTTATTTTGCCACAAATTCATCCTTCCCGAAAAGCCATCCTTCTTGAACACAGGGAACTTTGTTTGGCTACGCTTCCTTTAAAAAAAAAAAAATTATTTAGAATTATTTTTATCTCATGTTGCCATTGCTCTTTGTAAATAATGCAGCAGTATTTATACAGACTTACAGAGAGGTGGTTGAGTTTGCCTGATGAAGAGGAGAATATAATGATAGTTGTCGTTTTAATTGCTGAAATTAATTTACAGTGCCCTTTTAAGGTTTGTTTAATCCATATAATTACAAATGCAACTGCACTGCTCAGCTTTTCCTTCAATCAATGCACAAAGTGAGACATTCTCACAGCTCTGATGCTCAGTCAAGTTTATAATACTCTCTGCACATTCCTGACCCAAAATCTGAGCTGGTGGCACAGTTGGAGATTAGGAAGGACCGTCAGAGTCCTACATTAAAACCTCCCATTTGTGCAGGAAGGCAGCTGCTGATGTTCCACATATTTAAGATAAACAGACACAGGAAAAATGCAGACAAATATACAAATGCAGCAAGGTCCAGATAAAAATTTTTACTAGACACCATTAAGACACTGATGTTAGGAAAACATGCTTAAAGTAGGAATGTTTTCCTGCCTTATTCTTCTCTATCTGCACATACAAGGTTACTGTCTGGTATTTTTGCCATGCTGGAGTGGGGAGAGTCCCAGCTTAGGGAGCCAAGAGCTGCAGCTCTACCTTGGAAAGGTTACAATATTCTCCAAAAGGTATCTGAAAAGCATGACTGAAGTTGAATAAAAAGCATATTATTAAGGAAATCATGCCCTACAAGCATTTCCAAGGCAGATAGTCTCCTCTTTCCTCCTCACTTCCCTCTGAACCATACAAAGGTTTCTCGCAGATGATTAAAGCTGGTTTCTAAGGAACTAACAGGACTTTATTTGCCATTTGAGAGAACTGTAAATTTCAATAAAAGTTCAGTTGCACCGATTAGTAAAAGAGACAAAAGGAACACAAATACACCTCGGCAGTTATGGATAAGAGCATCACACAACACAGGTGTTACTGAGTCACACGTGCAGTTTGGTTTTTTCCCCATTATTCTGGCAAATGCTGCTGTTATTGCAGAGAAGCAATTACCTTTCGTACTCGAACCTTTGGAATGACTAATTGCTCCTGTGAAATGGTTATCAATTATTCATTATGGAAAGAGAGGGAAAAAAAACAAATTACTGAAAGAACTTTATTAAAATGCATGTTTTTCTACTGAGCCTTTTGCAAAACTTTCCCTGCCCAGAAATCTTAATTACACGTCTTACATTTAACTGAAAAATAAACCCATCTAAAAGGAATAGAGAAACAACAGACATGGCAGTTTTACAAACGCTTTCCTAAAGGAAACTCAACTTTCCATTAAGATAAATAACCCATTTTTAAATATATCCATGAAGTTAAAGAACCCATTTTGAAGTAAAACATTTACCAGTTAAATTTATGTCATCATGCAAATGTAACCAAACACTGCAAGAAATATACAGTCGTTAGGTGGCAAAATGAGAGCGTAACGTGATGTTCTCATTTTCTCCTCGTGCTGTAAGCAACAGGCAGCTCAGAGCTCAGGATCAGCTGCATACCGACCCCGAGAAGCCTCACAACCAACCTGCCTCTGTTACAGCCCCACTTACACATCATGCAGGCACAATCTATTGCTGAAGAAACTTTAAACCATTCAGGTGCCTATTCACAGAACATGCACTTAAAAATATTAGACCCCTCATAAGATCCAGCAGCACTTCACTGAAAATAACCCACAAGCCAAGACTTGTATCTGCCAAGTCTAAGCTGATACAAGAGCTAATACGTTTCTTGGTGCATTGGCTAGTATTCTCCGTAGTAAAACAGTAAACTTACCACTGTTAACAGCCATGCTGTTGAGCAAAATATTGCAAATATCCATAAAGCCAAACCATTAAAACAAAAATCCAAGAGAGTTATTGCAGAATCACAAAAAACCCCCCCCAGATATACCACCACAAAATTATGGTGAGGTCAGAATTACAGGTGAAAGCTGTTATTAATAAGTGGCGCTGTCAAGTATGTTAAAAAAAATAGTACTTCATAAAAAAGATCATGGTACAACATTTTCTTTTATTTCCATCCTTTCTCCTTTTTTTTTAAAGATTGACGTTAACATGTCACAATACATTTTTTGTATGGAAACACTCCAAAGTAGGAAGCCCGAGTCTGCCTACCTTGTCACTGTCATCCACAGATCTGCAAAGATTTCTAAATTTTCTGCTCTATTTGTACGGCTATGAGCAAAGAAGCAAAAAAATTGGGCCTGCAAAGCTGCAGCTCTGCAGATACCGGCATTAAATAAAAGTTCTGTTGTGACAGGCTATTTGACAGCAGGAAAAAAAAGAATTTTTGAAGTACCATCATTATTTAACAATTATTTCAAAGTTTTCCAAGATTTTTGGGAACAACTTGACAGTGCTGATGCAATCAGTACTTTTGCCAAAAACATGACAACGATACAGCTAGGTAAGGGGATGTTTTCATACCTTTTCTGGCTTTTCCTGAGTTCAATAAGAGAAAGAGTAAAAAACAAAAACAAAACAAACCTGTTTTGGAAAGCTTATAATTTGTTGGTACATAACTACCTTGCACTCAGTATACTGTTCTTCTGTAGAGCTTAGAAAGAATACAAATCACCATCTTGCTGGTATGGAACTTCTCTGTCCTAACAGTTTTGTTCCCAGAGCTGTGTCTGGTCTTAACATCTTAAGTCCCAGCTAGACATTCCCTCCTCTCTTCTGGAGTCCATCCTGCAAATCCTGCCTGTCCTTGTGCAGGCTTCAGGCACCCAGCGCCCCATGGGAGCTTCCTGGGACCAAGTTTCAACCTGTGCAGAGTGAGGTCTCTAGACTGTCAGTTTCTTTCAAGAAGAATTTTTAAACTCACATGACTGACTAAACACAGTTTTGGTAATCCTTGAATAGAGACTACTTAGTACTTTAAAATCTATGAAAATATTTCCTACTGGATTTATTCATAGACATTACTTGTTCCCACACAAAGAAAAAGAGATTGAAATCCATGTTCAAACTCAAGTGGCTGTTCTTCATTTCCTGACTTCATTTTTTAACTTTGAATTTTTCCTCTCAGACTTCTACATTTACCTTCTTGGACTGAAATTAGAAAAACTGAAGAAAAAAAAAAATTAGAGAAAGCTTATTTTATACCATTACTAATTTAGTGATGATTCTCAGATATCTTCAAGCTAGTGCCACTCCTTCTTCCAGGCACCAGTGAACTTACTTCTTTTCAGATCTGTATGAACACACCAAAACATCTGTCCTAGAAGTTTGTTCAGTGCCCTAAGGAAGGTGGTAAGCTACTCACACTGCTTCAGGAGTGCACCATCATCTCTGTAGAGCAGTTTGTGGGACACTACACAATAGCCAGTGCCCCAGAGCAGATGAAATGACATTTATCATGTGAGACCCTGGCTCTCCACTGAGCTGAGAACACCCAGCTCCAATGCACATGGTGCAGCTCTATGCTCAAGGTATCCCTAACTTCAGCCCCCCATGTTGTTTGCAATACATCACCCTGAACACAGGAAACTGATGGAGTGAAAAACCCATCAAGTGGGAAAAGATACGCAAGGAAAACAAGTAGTGGTTTAACACCCATGACAAGTCAACAAGACTTTTCATCTATTCATCACCTGTTTTAGGTGAAGAACTGATCTTTGTAGCAGGATGAGATCTAAGAGCATCATTATCAGTATAAGCAGTATCTATACATTTGCAGAGTTCCAGTGATTGGGTAGAAAATCTTACTCCTCCAAAATATTCACTTAGTCCAAAAACACAAAGCTGATCTACCTCAAGAATATTTCTGTAAGAAATACAGTGTATTTATTATCTCAGAAACATTTATCACAGAGTGATGGAATAAAAGAACATTACCAAGGATGCCTACTGATGTGATACTTGGCGTGGTTTTCAATGATGTATTTAAGGATGTCTGCTGAAATTAATCTTAGTTACACAGACTCATAACTCACTGATGTTAGTGGAAGCCACATAAGACTGCAGAATTTTAACTGACTTACAAAACTCTTATCTCTGCCTGTATTAGGTTTGGTAACACTTTGTAATTGTGTTTTAGGTCACACACTAATGATCTTTGGCAAACGTTTTACAGAAATATTTCCAATTGTAAACACGTGATCTCTTGTGATCAGAGTTTAGCCAAACCATCCTTACTGATTTTCAAAGGGAAACAAAGCGTTTTCTGCACGATGGTGTAATGAAGAGCATGAGTGTACTTGCAAGCAATTCTCCCCCTGCAAATTAAGTACATCAAAGCTTTCCAAGCTTTTTGTATGACATCCAAAATACTTCGAGGTAAGTTAGCCACAACACGGTAGGTTTGAGGAAGGCCTGCTGCATAGCTAAAGCTCAAAAACCCCAAATCACAACTGGATCAGCTCTTTAAAGTGTATGTAATAAGTCATGATCCCTTCTCAGCAAGCTTGTTCCATCCCTGTATTGAGTCATCTTGATGAGTGTGGGTGACCTCAGTCGGGCTCTTTGACCTTTAACAGCTGCTAGCTCTGACAAGTCCTGTAACAACAGGATGGATCCTATCTCAGCTCAGGCTTAGTCAGTGCAATTCTACCTAAGGACCTCTGGCTCATCTATTGATAACAATGCTGCAGATGCCGGAAAGAAAAGGAACTGACAGATGGCACTGAAGCAACTCCATTTGCAGATGGGACACTTATGAATAATGCATCTTATTAAAGCAGAAATTAAGCGTATCGACTCAAGTCAACAGACAGAATGGCACAGCCTAAAAGCTCACGTTTCAAAGATGTAACTTCCTTTTGAATCCAGAATTGTCATGTCCCTGTTACAAAAATGCAGCTATCCATCTACGATAAAACACCTCTCCTTTCCTATTTTGTAGCCCAAATATTTAAGACTGGTGACAACACCACAGTTACAGATTCTCAAAGGTAAGTCACGATACTGAATCTTTGTCTGGGGAATTACTTTGTCTAGGCAAAAATATATGCCTGTGAAAAACAATTTTTAAGATCACAACATTAAATAATTATTTTTTTAGAAAAGAGAAGAAAAAAGAAAGCAACATATAATATATTTAATATATTGTCTCAAAATCACTCACAGAAATTACCCAGTTAACCCAATGTGTATATTTCAAGATACTTTTCTTGTTTACTTGATTGTATTTGGTGACTGCATACTTCAAAATTACTTGTGCACCTACATCATCATCTTAACACCTGATATCTGCAAATTACATTTAGAGCTTGCTTTTTTCACCAAAAAGGAAACTTATTTTACAGCCCTGTTATTTTTTTTTTTACAGCCCTGATTATAGCAACACCAGTTTCAGACTTATTTTCAGAAAAACTGAAGACTGACTTTTAACAGCAATGAATCAAATAAAAAGGTCTTACCTTTGTGCATCCTTCTCGACTCTGACTCTTTGGTCATGGTTGCCAGGCAGTGAGGAAGGACGCTGCCACAACTGTTGCTCTGTCCTAATGGTAAATGTCCCTGCAGGAAATTTTGTAAATATGTACTTAAAACTACACTTCAAGACTTTTTTTTGTATCAGCAACTAATGGTAAAATAACTTGCTTTCTCATGGGTATCCATGTCACATCATATCAATCAGCCATGAATATTTTAGTTGTGCACAGTCTCTTACTAGACAAAATGGAGATCTTATAGCAGCCTTCCAATACCTGAAGGGGGCCTACAAGAAAGCTGGGGAGGGACTTTTCATAAGGGCATTTAGTGATAGAACTAGGGGAAATGGGTTTAAGCTGAAAGAGGGAAGGTTTAGATTAGATATTAGGAAGAAGTTCTTCACTGTGAGGGTGGTGAGACACTGGAACAGGTTGCCCAGAGAAGCTGTAGATATCCCATCCCTGGAAGTGTTCAAGGCCAGGTTGGATGAGGCTTTGAGCAACCTGGACTAGTGGAAGGTGTCCCTGCTGATGGCAGGGGGATTGGAACTGGATGATCTTTAAGGTCCCTTCCAACCCAAACCAATCTATGATTCTATGTTTTCAAATATCTCCACCTTGCTGCTGTTTGTCGATGTACCACATCACAAATAAAGAGTATTTGCACTTTATACACAACTTTACCATTGAAAGATCTTAGGTAGGAAGGAGAACAATCTGTTCAGTCTCTATAATGAATTTAAGCTAAAATAGCTTGGAAATACAATCCTTGAGATACATTAAACAAAATGCAAGATAATGCCAGGAGCAGAGGACATGGCAGGAAGATGTGGCAGGGGAGGGTGAGGTTGGCCATGAGGAAAAGGTTCTGGAGGCACCCAGAGGGTGGTGGAGCACTGCAACAGGCTCCTCAGGGAGGTGCTCATGGCACCAAGCCTGACAAGATGCCAGAAGCATTTGGCCAACATGTGCCCTCAGATACATGGTCTGAATCTTGGGCTTGTCCTGTGCAGGGACAGGAGTTGGACTCCATGGTCCTTGTGGGTCCCTTCCCACTCACGACATTCTATGTTTCTATTAGAGCACAGCATTTCCAGAGGTCAGAATAAAGGTTGGGAGTACGGAAGGCTTCCTGGATATTCCCATATGTCAATAAACCCAAATTTCTTTCAGAGTCAATTTCAGATGTGAATTTAGGGGCTTAGGTAATGCTTAGAGTGCTACCTAACCTTACCTCTGACAGAATACAGGTTTTTATACAGACATTGGAAGGCTATTAACAGCACACAACTACGTACTTTAGTAGTAGCAACGCTTCGTCCCAGCGTCGCGCTGTTGAAGTGCGGTGACACAGACGGAGCCGTTTTCTTGCGAGGTAAAGTATCGCTCATGTACACACATTCCCTGTGCTGCTTCTTGCGCTCTTCCAGGTTTCTGAAATGCTTCAAATGTAATTTGTTACACGGTTTTGACAAAACGAATTGACCTACTTGCTCAGTTATGCTCTACATGGGATATACTGAAGGTGATAGTCTGGGAACTTCACTGGAAAGAGCAAAATCTAAAATACAGAGTACCTCCTGCTTCACAACGCTTTCCAGGGTTTCTACAAATATTACATTAAATTCACATTGATTAAGAAAATATATGAAATTAATGTGCACTTTTTGTGTACGTGCCCCTGTACCCATTTTTTTTTTAAACTCAAGTCTAGTGTACAAGTGGAATCCAATTACAAAGAAATACAAGTTATTCTAATGAATCGGTGGCTTAAAACTGACGCAGCTTTTGAGAGGCATTGTTCAAATGTATATGAAAAATTAATTTAGGATTTCAAACACAGCCACCTATAATTCATTGCTGCAAGTCTTCTGGCAGTTACAATGGCTCCTAAATATTAGTATTTGCCTGGATTGTTTATATAAGGAGAATTTTTGTTCAGTAACATTCAATAATGCATTGTGTTGATTTTTTAAATGAGCAAAGCCTCTAAGCACAACACTTTGCAAGCACCATCAACTAATGATGTATCATATCACTCTTAACAACTTCACACATAAATCAACTTCATGGCCACCATAACAAAACAAAACCAAAAAAATAATTCCAAGTTATCAGCTTTGAATCTGTTACCTGTTGTTGCCTGCGGTGTTTCTTAGCTGGCAGAGGTGGAGGTGTATCAGATAAAGGAATAGGATCTACATGAGTAGCCATGACCTCAGGCCAATGGACTGATGGAAGTTGAGCAATAGAGCGAGGAGAAAGAGAGTGAGGAAACACAAATCCAGAACAGAGAGGTGATCTTAGCTTTATAGAAAAAAGAGAAATTACACACAGAGTTTTCTTTTTGGAATCGCTCAAAAGACATGGCACATACAAGCTGCAGTTTTAGAACTGTGTTTGCTGGAGCATTTAGCAGGAGAGGAGAGGTGTTGTATTGCAACTCTCAAGGTATATTTAACTACCAAAAGCAGCACAGAAATGCCAAATTCTAAACCAGTTGCTGCCTTATTGCAACACAAAGGTAGGTGGCTTTACATTCATAAAGTTTTTCCATTTATTTAAAAGGGGATTTATTCAAAATTTGCTATGGTCATTACGAAGGCAAAAACATCACAAAGAATAAGGAAAAGAGAGAGTAAGCTAGAAGACACAGACTGGACAGACTCTGTGGAATAGCTAAGGTAAATAGGAACTACCCATCTCCCACAGATATTCAAGATATACTTCTACCACCTCACATGGAGGGGGGGGAAAGAAGCAATAAAACATACAGAATGAACACCCAAGCACCACTGATCAAGTAATCATTAAGCACGTCCACAGACTGGTTACCAAAGGTGCATTACATTACAATGTCTGACAGGCAAAGATTGTCACTTATTGCTGCTTGGGTCATAAGCATTCATGTTTTTTGGCCTTCAAAGTCCCATCTACATCATCAAAGACACTTTACAACTGGAGCAGTCCTTTCAGCTTTACTCTTAAACTCTTATCTGACTTGATAACTGGCAGATGGCACTTTGCCTTAGGGTCAATCTGTTACAGGTTGAATTACCAAAAAAAATTTAAAAAAAAAAAAAGAAAAGAAAAAGGCAGTCATGAAAGAACAATGCAAACAAAGGGAAATGTCTCTCAAACAAACCTCTTTATTTTGTGGCTGGCTCGTCAGCACAGCCGTGGAAGGCTCAGTGGCAACTGCTTCAGCATCTGTGGGGGGCTGAGTGGAAGGGGATATATTCGTGGAATTGCCATACAGCTCACTAATTTCACTTACACTGATATAGCCCTAAAAGGAGGAATTCAGAAGTTAAAAGGAGCAAAAGCCAAGAGACGTGCAAGAGTATTAATGTCTCCAGTACGATGAAAGTTAGTTTAGAGTGATACAGCCAAATATTTGTTATCATTGAAATACATCGTAAATAAAATAAAATCATCAAGCTTATCGAATGCTGAATACTCGGATTCTGAAAACTGTTCTTCATTTAAACAAATACATTTGTGTGATCAAAAAGCACATGTACATTAAGTGACCAAAAGACTTAACTAAAATATAAATACCCTTTAGAAATTAGGTAGCTCTCTCTCAGGAAAGCAGATTGAGGGAAAAGAAAGAACAAACTTTATTCACCCATCTTTTTATTTCTTAACTTTTTTTTTGTACATGTTTAAATAAAATAACTTACCCTGACTTGCTTCTTGCTTAACTATTAAGCTAGTTTGAGTAAACCAATTAACTGAAAGGACTGGGAAGAGCTTACATCAGGACAAGCCATTGCTACCCTACAAATTACACTACTGACACAACACCTTCCATTTGCATTGTCTGAAAGTAGCTTCTAACTTTTAGGTGTTACCAGCAGACTCAGGTAAAATGCTGTCAGTGTTAGCCCCACAGTCATTTCAATTTGCCTTTTTTTAAAAAAAAAACAAACCCCAACAATCACACTGACAGCTATGGTATTTCTTTTAAAAAAATGCATAAATTATAGCAATGATTATAGAAGGCAGGTTGAAAAAAGACCAACCCTATATCTATTAGCATAATTTTCAATGTACTTTATCAGCTATTTCAATGGAAAATTAAGTATCACACTGTGAACACAGCACTCTAGAAGTAGGAGGCAAATCTTGACTCAGATATCATGTGATAAACTATTAAATGAGAAGGAGTCTGGGTAAGATATTAAAGTTTCCCTCTCCAAACACATGGCCATATTACAGTAGAGTCCAGTGTGATTAAACATAAAACTTGCTGTACCATCTTGTAGTAGCAGTACATCAGTAACCAAAACTTGGCAAGTCCATGAATGCAATATTACATTCATTTTTATAGATAATAAAAGCACCTTCACCATTATATGAAAAACATTGAGTTCAGACTCACAATCCCAATGGGGATTCACCATGGGGTTAAAAAAAAGCAAACAAGGAATGACTTCACTGTGCATTAGCTCAAGCTCCTATTACCTTAGATTAAATAAATGGTTTCAAGTCAGATTAGGCATCTATGTCAATGCTAAACTTCTAAACAGCATTGATTTCCCTCAGTTATTTAAGCACTAGGATAAGCACCCTGCCTTTTTATGTGAGGCAGTGTTACTCTCCATTGCTGTGCCTGCAGAGAGTAAGCGTCACGGTGGATAAATGTGTGCTTTGGTGAGGAGGGGCTGGGAAATGCTGGACCACAGACTCAACTGATACATGAGCAACTGTGTGATGAAATTAGCTTCTGTGTGCAGGGAGTCTGGTTAAGCCTGTGTACCATTGGGTGTCTGCTTTTTAAAAGTGCCTGAACAGTCAGAGAAAAATAAAACTGAGCCAAAACAAGCGTAAGGTCTGGCAAGGAAAAGCATTTCTTTTATAGCAGAGAGCCTATGGGGACAGCGAGCTTAAAACAGATAAGCCATGCTGTTCCTTCTCCCTTTTACCTTGGGCTAAGTCCTAACTGACTTCCTTACAGTGAACAGAACAGCACTGCTGAGTAATCCACTGCCATAAAAAGAGTGTCAGGCTCACTTAATGTAGTTGCATTTTGAAATAGCTGTGATTAAAGAAACCGTTATGTGGTTACAAAGACAAAAATCAGAGATAGCACCCACTCTCTAGTGAGAAAATGAACAGATTCATCTCAAAAGAACAACAATGAAGCTTAGACTTGCCAGATGTCCTGGTGGGAAATCAGATGTCCAGGTCAGAGCACAACCTAGGACACTCAAGGTCCTAGTCATCTACAGCATGGCTCACAGTGAGGAAGGCTGCTCAACTCTACTGGTATGTGCTGGAGGCCACCTGGGCTCACCAGGAACTTTGAGGTCAAATAAGCAAGATCATGTTTCCCAGGTGCTGTGAGGACACATGGTTGCTTTAGACTTCAAGAGCCCAGCTTCCCACAGGGACACCTACATCGTCAGATGGGGCAGACCTTGCTCAGGGCTTTGGTACAAGCAGATCCAGAAAGTTCAGTCAGACCTCTTAAGCAGAAGTTAATGAAGCAGCCATAGATACCTGTCAGCGTATTTTAAATGCTAGATTTTCTGCTTCTCCATTTATAACTTCTTGTTTATCTGCAATTTGCAGATTCATCAAGTCAAGTCAAGGAGAGAAATACGGGGAGTTAATGCTAATATCGTACGTGCTGACTGAATCTTTGCAGTGGCTGTGGCTTACCTTACACTGACCTTCATCATGGACCTTGAAGTTTAAAGCTGTCTCCTCAAAGCTATGAAGTCTGGACAGCTGCAGGTAAGTTCTGGGTCTCATAATGCATTACCCAAACTAACTTAGTTTTTTCAGCAAGAAATATTTGACAACTTTACTCTAACTAGTCAAAATAGTTAAATAAATAAATCAATAGGAATCTTACAACCAAAATAGCTTGAAGTCTTCAATTCAATGCTTTTTAAAAAGATCAAAATGTATAGTCATCATGCTTTAGTGCAGAGCCTTAAAATAAAGGAGGGGAAGCAATGGTAAAATCTACAGTGGAAAAATAAGACTCAACTGTATTCATACTTGAACAGAGTTATTCCTGGACCTCATTCTTCTTCACTTCAATGAGGTTTAATTGTCTATTTTGAGAAAATTACCCACCTCCTCCCCTCATATAAAAATGATCATTTTTCCAGGGCAAGAGATTAAGGTGATACCAGTCATATCTGGGAAAATGTCAAGAGAAGCTATTTCTGCTCACCCATGCATTTGGACTTCCATGAATAGCTTTACAATGTAATTTCATCACATCTCAAAAAAATTTGTATGAATAGGACTTCATTAAATACTAGAGTGCTTTTGTATGAAGTGGTATTAAAAGTTACTTATGTTAAAGTAAAAAGCAGTGAATCTTTTTACCTCTTTTAGACTATTGGGACTGACAGGAAATCCCTTTCCTCCAGAAAGCGTGGAATATTTCTTTTCCAGATTACAGAGATTTTCTTTTTCCTGTTAAAAATCAGACATTTTGCATTAAATACAAAAAGCCATGTAGTGAACATAAATGCCAGCTGTTTTCTCCAGTGTGTAAAGAAACACGCTGGGATAGACTAGAAACTGCACAGAAGAGGTTCAGCTTCAACCACGTACAACAAAAATGAACAAAAAAACTGGAGATACAGAACGAAGAGCTAGTGAAAGACTTGATTTGATAAGCACAGACCAACTAAAAGGTTTTTCCTTCAGCATTTTGAAAACACTGGTTCTGCTTAATGAACTAAACCTGATTTCTCTGATGATTGAAAGCAAAACAAAATGGACATGAAGGGTTCAGTCCAGCTTCTTATTAAGCAGATGTTAGCTGATGTCAAGTAGCTCATCTTGTGGCCTAGTACAGGCTATTACAAGTCACAACTCTGAGCTGTCTGAGCACATTTCCAGCAGCCACACAGGGAGCACATGCTTCTACCAGGTGCCTTTGATTGAGTCCTTGGAAGGGAGACACCTTTAAAACCCTCTAGATTATCAAATGCCACTAGTGTTTTCTCTTAGGAAATCTGCTGATTAATTACAAATTTTTTAAATTTTTTTTAAGGGTTAATGGATCCAAAAGATGTCTATCTCATTAATAGCTTCTTGATAGCTTCTACATAGCTGATGCTTGTGCTCTACGTTCTTTCATTCTATCAAACACACTTTTATTACATGCTAAAAACATTTGAAAGACAATAAATACTTACCCTTTGCAGCATCATTATTAAGTTGTTTTTCTCTTTTACAAAATGATCCTGTTCTCTTTGTGCTTGTTGGACAATATGATTGGCTTGTTTTTTGAGAGCAGATATCTTTTCCTAATATAAAAAGAAAATAATCATCATTTACGTGTTTTATTTTCAAAGCACGAGACAACCTGCAGCAAGGATTCCATTCACGAGAGTTCACTCGTTCATATGAGTGAAGCAGCAGGAAAAGAGGTTTTTAAAAGACAAGTCACTGCTCTGAAGGAGATAATTAAATAAGATTTAGGCAGTGAAGAGACAATTGCTTCAAGAGACAAAACAAAAGAACAACTGCTTGTGTTCTTTGATAATATAGTGATTGGCTTCTGTTTACTGAACAGAACTGGTTTAGAGATGCAACTTCTGATCTCTGAAAATCTGTCATTTAACTGGTTGGGACAGGACATTTACAACATATTTAAAAATTATTTTCTTAATTTGATGTTCTATTATTATTTTAACAAAATCATTTAAAATCAACACCAATAATGAGCATAAAATAAATGTTTTTTTGTCCAGAGTGTACAAATGTCCTTAATAAAGAAACACCAACACTCTGGTACTTTGTGTAGCAAATTTAAGGGTTTAATTTTTATATGCAAATACACAAACAGGCCATGGAATTTTATTGATTTATTTCCTTTTTGAGAAGTGCATGCTTTATAGGTGTGGGATGTTACTGGGTCATCACTTTTGCTCTGCTGCAAAAGCTCTTTCAAAGAGGCAAGTTTTGCATTATTTCTTCCAGATAATCTGGTTGTAGATCCATTTCATCTCCTTTATGTGCAGTGACAAAGAAATGGAGCATTAGTGTTTTTACCTTTCTACTGACAATGCTACGCTGATATTCAGCTACTTCACGCAGGAGCTGTTGCGTCAGGTTTTCTTTCTCTTCATCTAACCTGCTTTCATGTTCAAGCTGCTGAAATTCCAGGTCTTCAAAGTGTTTGCTTTCTATGTCCAATATATCAGCATCCTTAAGCCAAAAAAAAAACCAACCAAAGAGAGAAAAAAAATTAGTAATCATGCCTTCATTGACACCAAAGTAGATATACTTACAAACAAACACACACCCCCCCCAAAAAAATCACAGTTTAAAATGGTATTTATGTATCTCATACAAAATGTTCAAACAGGAGATCAACACTTTTAATAACCTGCTGTCATCATGAGACTGAATAGGGCTAATCATTATTTTGATGTTGCTTTCTCCCTCACTCCTACAGTCCTCTCTGCTGCAGAACACAAAGCACCTGCATGGTGAGGGAGCTGTTTTGCAGGGTTCAGAGCAACCTGGAGCCTCCTAAGGACCAAGAGCACCCTGGCTGGGCAGACCTCTCTGCTGTAGCTGAGCTGTGACACCACCGAAGCCTGAACCCATTTGGTGAGGTTGCCACATGCCAAACTGGGAGAGCATCTGCTTACCAACCAAAAAGGACAAAAATTATCATGCCAGTAACACTGGAGAACCGCACACTGAATTAACTAACGATGGGATGGGAATACATGGTCAAAGGAAGGAGTCTGGACTGCAGTTCGAATTTTTTCAGGTCTAGCTCAAGTACCAGCACTGTGTTGTTAATAACAGACATGCAGTCTGGTAAGATGGAGCTGTGTGCCATCAGCACTCTGATAACACCTCAGCAGTGGTGTCCAACCATGCCAGTTTCTCAGCCAGAAGCTGCTGGTGGACCACCATACTGAAGCTGACAATTGGCCCCTGTGCAAACACACAGTTAAGGACTCCAGTCATCCACCCCAGCCAGGAGGTGTAGAACTTCAGAAAAGGTATCAGTCTACTTTTATACTTTTATGCATTCCCCTGGACCAACATCATGTTTTGTCAGGAAAAAAGGTTGTATGCTGCAAAAAAGACCCAAGAAATAAGAACACACTTGCCTCCTGCTTAGGGATGATGAGATAAAACTTATGGTGCTTTTCAGCACAAGAACCAAACACTAATTTTCTCCTGCAATATCTGCATATTCATAACAAATTCCTACTTACAAGTTCCAGAGTTCTGAAGAAAAGGGTGTTTTTAATAATCACAGTATTACTAAATTCTAAGGCTCTCTAAAATAGGCACGTTGTACATAACTTGATACAGGAGAAAGCCTACATCCTGTAAGCAACTTATCATTTTAGAGAAATACAAACTTACTCCTTTTCTTATTTTGACCTAAGGCAAAGGTTAGTGACCGAGATAAGCCTCTCCAAAGACATTCAAAACCAGCTTCCAATGTACCAGGGAAA